CGGAGCACTGGTCATGCAATCCCAGATGATTTACATATTTTCCAGTAATAATCTAGTCATAAACATTAATGAATTATTTTAAAAACTGTTGTCATATTTTTGGAGTTGGATGCAGCTAGCATTTGCAAAACTAATTAATTTCCTCACAGTTGGACAGGTAACAGAAATATGGCAGGTCCTGCCTTTACTTCCCTTTCTTCAAGTATTTCTATCAAAGCACTTTTAGTTCGACTCAGCAGTAGGGCCAACTTTGCAGACACTCATTTGTTTCTAGTAATTCTGGAAGAAACCAGACAGAAGAACAGGCTAGCACAAGAAAAGGCAGTTAAATTCAGGATTTCTAAAGGAGTATCTGTGGCGTTACGGGACAGGAGAGACTTGCTTAGAATAGTGATATACAAACTCACTACTAAGGGATGTCAAAATTAGATAGCGACAAGCAATGCAGTGCTTGAATATCACATCCTGCAGAAGCAGAGGACACAGAGACAACACATGCCAATCCAGTTGTGAAGCACGGTATTGTGTAACAGTAGGTGGACGATTATAAAAGATTAAGCAGTTAGGATCTGTAGTAGCTAGTTCACTTTAAAGCTCAAATGTTATGCTTCTTCGATAGGAAATCAATTTTAACAACTGATGAAGCCAAATACTTTCCTTTATAAAAACACTGTATGGTCACAAATAATTTTAAGATGTATCAGTGCAATTCAATAAAAAAAAGGTTCCTTTGTAGCAGAAGGCATAAGCACTCATTATTCAACAGATGGCACTTAATGTGTTACTTATTCTAGGTTACAGACACTATCAGAGGATACTACTTCTACACACAAATAGTGATAACATGCAAGGTACTTTCCAGACAAGCTTAAAAGCAAAGTCTTTATTCTCAAAAAATAAAATTCTGAACTGCAGCAGTGTGCAACTTAAAAGAAAATTTTGAGCAATTACTCCTTTGATCTATCATAATTTTTCCAAATTATAGATCTGGAATACTCCCTGAGTAACGGAAAGATAAGAAACTGATGTTCACAAATCACTTTGAGGAAAGGAACTCTGAAGTGCTATCTATAAACCTTTATAGCTCTAACATAGGTGATGTTTTCTTTAGAACACTTTAGCCATAAGAGGTAAGTCATTAAGGTGTACACATGCGTGCAAAGCGTGAGATGTCAGCTGTGATTAGTACTACTGTGTTTAATTAATGACAGAGTTTCAAACTGATCCAGAGTCATTGAATAGAAATGAAGGAGTACTAGATGAATGAGAAGAAAAAGCTTTAAAAGCCTGTAATTTTATTTAGAAAACTCAGTACAAATCAGTATATCCGTGTGAACTTTTGACTTGTTAGGCAAGCAGTTTCAGAATTTTATCACCACAGCAGCAGCCTCCACACAAGAATAATCATAGAAATATACTACAGATCACCTATTGGTGGGACAAGCAACATACTTACAAAAATACATCCTCTGGAAAAGGCCTGATGTTAGAGCTAATTGAAAGTCAGAATTTCAATTCAGAATAAAAAGCGGAAATTTCTGCAGAGGTAAGAAAATTTGAAATAATTCACAAATTTTTCTTACCTACTAAAAAAATAACCCCACAAAAGTACACCCTGAGGATTTCCTCAGCAGTTGATCCTGAAGCCAGAAGCATCAAGACTTTTCCTCTGAGGACTCAGAAGCCTAACCCTGGAGTCCTAAACAGGGCTGCCTTTCACAGTGCTTCCATGTTTGTGACAGTCACAGTTCTGCAACAAGAAGCGTGACAGCTTTGGTGTCCCCGGCTCTTACAGTACATTACTGCTAGTCACCCCTTTCCACCTGCACACGTCTTCCTGATTTTGAGTAGATTCCTAGATAACTTTAATTAGCAGGAATATTTGTGAGAATAAGTTTAAATGTTTTTGAAAAATTGGATCTAGATTGGATGTAGCATGGAAGTAGCACACCATAAACAAATATTTATTTGACAGCATGATATAAAGACAGCTTTTCACATAAAGCCAGATGAAACAAAATAAAGTATTAACGGAAAAAAAAAAAACCCCACAACCCTAGAAAACTAGAAATAGTTATTGAAAAAGATTTCATACATGTACTTTAAAAATAATCAATCCATTTTGTCACTGAAAGAAGTTAATTGTTTTGCTGACAGACAAAAAAGAAAGCAGAGACAGAATTGGAATACAAATTCTTGCATCCTAACTCTGGTTATTCTTCTGGTCCATGCTATCTTTAGCAGGTGAAGTAACAGTAGTTCTTCAATAGACAATTTAAATATTCTGTCATATCTATTTACTGAGCAAAAAAAATAATTTGAAGTGTACATTCATTTGGACTCGCATGCTCCCAGCATGTTAGAGGTAGGTATTTAAAACTAGGTTCTTTACACAGTTTACATAGTTCTTTAATTTTTTTTTTAGATACACAACCATTCCTCAAGCTTTCCCAGGTAGTTGTTCCACCCCCCCCAAAAAAAAAGAAAAAAGAAAAAAGATGAAATCTAGCCAGAAAAGGAGAAGCAGTCCTTTGCCAGAGGGCATTTTTGAGCTGCACTTAGTATACTTGTACCTGTACAGCTGCTACATTGTCGGTATGATTGTACTGTACTGCTATTTTCTGTACAGGAAAAACAATGTACTTTTATTTCACTACTTCCATGCTAAGAGTCATATTTTATAACTGTACAGCAGAAAATCAAATTCATCTATTAATAAAACAACGGTTGAAAATTTTGGGGAGCCAGTTTTGGTTCTGTTAAAAAAAAAAAACACACACACACATATTTCCACAATTGTCATGATTCCAGGGTAAGAAGATCAGTTTTTATTACACACCTTTGTTATTTAAATATTACTATTATTAATAAATATGCTAAAATGCCATGTAATAAGGTCTACATGATAAGCTTTGCTCCAGTGTCTATATTTGCTGTAGGCATAAACAGTATTTAATGGAGATAAAATATAAAGCTACCCTTCTCAAATTCTTTCAATCTAATGCAACATTTGCAAATTCAGATATCCTGCTCAGGGGTCACAAGTACCAGCACAAAGTACTTACTTTTATTTACATGGCTACCTATAAATAGTGCTTTGTAATATTATTTGCATTTGTGACCCTCAGCTATCTCTAAGACAAAAACGGTCTCTACTCTTCACTGATTAAGGGCAAGGGAAAAGGCAAGGGACTGTGATTTGAGGTCACATATGTCACTGGTACTCTGAAAAATGCAGGGTATATACTTTTCCTGAAAACTCCTCTCTTTGTAGGGAAAAAGAACTAGTATGCAATAGACTGATCTATCAAAATTGTAACACTTTAAGTTAAATGTAAGAACAACATAAGCCCTAAATTATACAACAAAAGTTTTGGTGGGTTATCAGTATCAGTCAACATACACTGGCAGGCATTTTCTGTGTTTTATTCTTGGAAGCAATCCTTCAGCTCCTCGGAGGGCTGTATTTCATATTCTATTTAAAAAGTGGGAAGTCTTGAGATGGGAAAGATGCATTACAGCAAAATCTCACTTATACTGCATGGTAGTCTTAGTGATCTAATTTCCACACCAAAACAAACTAAGAAAAAAAAGCCCTCTCCAAAAACTTCCCCAACTACCACAGATTAGGAAACCCAACCTGTCTTTCAACTTCACAAAAGCTGAAACTGAACATGCCATGAATACTTGATCAGGTCTGAATCACAGGTTTTAGAGAGCTTGTGACTAAAATAGCTCTACAAACTTGTGCTACTCCTGGCACAAAAAGCCTGCCTTTCTCCTACCTTTATCAGAAATCAAGTTGTTTATCACATTCCTTCCTCATTTATCAGTTCCTTGTGATGAAAGCAACTCAGTGATTAATACTTTTTATTACGTTGGTTCCAGTGACTTGAAATGAATTTGCCCTGACTCTTTAAGCATGCTACCACACCCACTGCATGGAACTCAAGCAATTCTAGGAATGCAAGACAGAAAACAAATCTTAGGCTATAGCCCATAAATCTATAGCCATAAAGCCAACTGTATGATGGCTTCAAGCACAACACTTCTTCAGGAGGTGTTTTTTTTTTTTTTTTCCTAAAGAAAAAGGCAAATCAACTGCTTTAGAAAACCTGGAGAAGGCACTGTTCTCTTCTGTCTTGCACTCTTCTCTGCGCTTTCCTACAGCTCATTAAGCAAAGTCGGCTGTAGAAGGCAGAAATGGAAAGTAGTCCAAAATCTTTTCAGTTTTGCTAACTACCTAACTACAAAGTGACAAAATAAGAGGTTTTATCTGTATCTTGCTCACATAGCTGCAATCTACTGTCTTCTGTTTACCACAGCATCATAGATTTTATGTAAATTTAGGGACTGAATTCTCTATATAACATTTTGCCGGTGTAAACACAGAACAGACTGCGTAAAGGACACAGAACAGACTGCGTAAAGGACGTGAAGATGTGAACTTGCCCAGACACTGACTGACAGCAAACTATACTTAACAATTAACAATATCCTCTGTACTAATTAGCGCTTGTCTTGGCTTGAGTGATAGTTGCAATTTCTTTGCCTTTGGCATGACGGCAGTAAGACTGGCTGTCCAAAACAGCACCGACTTGAAAGTGATTAAGCACTGCATGTTCTTAAAAACTACTGATTACCAACTGAGACTTGTGAACTGACTAGACACTCATACCCTGCCTTAACTGCAAAGGGCTGTTTGTCTGCACTCCCTTCACAGCATCCTACATAAAGCCTACATGAGGACGCCTCAAACTGAGTTCTTTTCTACTAGGTTTACAGATTAGGAAGCAATCTGTATTTAGAAGGTATGCTGACATAAGTAGGTTGATCCATGGGCCTTCTTCCTACTAATACATGTAAAATTGTACTAGTAAGGAGTCCTTTTTCTTCAGATTGTAAGGCGTAAGCTAATGAGGTTTCTCAGTCCCCCTGCCAGAGTAGTGAAGTAGGGGCTTTGAACTGAAGTAACTGCTCTATCTCGGGATTATACCAATATGCAAGGTTACATAAAACAGTCGTTCTGGTTCATATTGCCAGATGCTGAAATATTACTTGCAGTTGAAACAAAAACACGAACTCCAACTTCTCTATGGCACGAATGGACTTTACAGAGGTACCCAGAGGGTAAGAGTTCAAACTTTTGGACTGGTCTAGACATAGTTTAGGTAATCTACAGACAAATAATCTAACAGAGGCGCACTTCGCCTTAAGTGCGCAGGATCCGCCTCGACGCCCGCTGCCCCGCGGGCGCCCTGGCCGGCAGCCGGCG